TTTTTAGCAACAAGAGCCACGTTGTTGAAACTCCATCTTTAGCAACGTGGCCTATGTTGCTGAAGGGGCTGAGAAATTTTACCCCACCCGGTCACCGGATTCCGGTGAAGGTTATCAGCAACATAAGTTATGTTGCTAATACTTTTTTTTCAGCAACATGGTCTATGTTGTTGAAGGGGGTGAGAAATTTCACCCCTCTTCGGCCACCGGATTCCGTTAATATTTTCAGCAACATAAGCTATGTTGCTGATACTATATTTTCAGCAACATAGCTTATGTTGCTGATACATTAGCAACAAGATTTTGGTTGGTGATGTATTACCCACCAAGCCTTCTCCAACAAAGCTTTTAGCAAGCAAACCCATGTTGCTGAAGGGCTTTCAGCAACATGGGAACCACTTTCAGCAACATGGAAGCATGTTGCTGAAACTGAAGATTTTAGTAGTGTTAAGTGTTGGTATTAAGACTTAAATTGTAAATTTAGCTTATAAAAAAACACTTATTCACTAATAAGTTTAACTTTTAAAGTTTCTAGTATATATTATTTATTTAAATCAAATTTTGTTAAAAAGAATCATATTGAAATGAATAATTAATCTAGGCATTGAGTAGTAAAATAATAATAATAATAATAATAATAATAATAATAATAACAGTAGAATTATAAAAAAATTAGATTAAAAATTGTATAAATATATTTATTACTTAAGTATATTAACAACAGAATCATAAAAAAAAATTTAACTTAATTTAGCTTAAATATACATGATTTCTCCTTTTATAGCTAGTCTAATCCTAGAGCCAAAGTAATAAAAAGAAAAAAAAAATTGAACACATAATTTCGATCCAAACCAAAGTGTGAATCATCAATGATAAACTCTAAATTCCATATATAACATAAAATTCACCTCTCCTCTATAATTCTATATTCAAACAAATAAGAAAATTAAGTATGAATGACAAATAATGAAAAACAAATAATAGAAAAAAATAAAGAACAATTTCTGGACACAAAATGAAAAACAAAAATAGAAAATTAAGTTTGAATTTAATTTATTCCTCATAATCCACATAAATAAAGAGAAATACCAAAAACAAGTTGTAATTTTTTTAATGAAAATTTGTAAAATACTTGAATTATTTACGACAGATTAAGAAAAAAAAAAATTTCGCTCTACATGAATAGAAGCACTTAAAATTCTTACTTTTAAATTGTTGTTTCATAAAATGTTTTAATATTAATAGGTTTGATGACATAGGACCCACGTTGTTTCCAACTCAGCAGCCAGTGGGGTGAAACAAGAGCACCGTTAGTTATTTGACGGAATGATGACGTCAACCTTCAAACAAAGGCTTATTTGCCACTGTAAAGGAGTATAAGGGGTGGTATGCTTCTGAATTTAGTTTAGGGGTTAATCTGCCACTGATAGTCAAGTTCAGGAGGTTTTTTGCATGATTCGCCAAAAAAAAAAAACCTTAAAAGAATGGTAAACGGTTAAATTTAAACTTTCCACCGTTAGGTTTAGAAGGGAGGAGTGGTATGGATCGATTTTGCCTGTAACTAGAAATAAATTATTAGTTAACTAAAATTTTTCATTTTTAATTTTAATAATTATTTATCAAATTAAAAAATAA